TTATCACACTAAATGAAGGAATCCAGACAGAAAAAGACAAAGATCATATGACATCACTCATATGTGGAATGTAAACAAATGATACAAATGACGAATTTAAATTTAAATATGAAGTTCAGGCATCGCCCCTGAACTCCAGAGTCACATAAGCCAAACTCCCAGGGAGGGGACATTTTCACTTGAATACATAAGAGGACTCAAATTAAATATGCCCCACATTGCCTACCTTGTAACCCCACCCAGACGTATTTCTCCACAGTCTTCTTATCAGTTAGTAGAAATTTTATCTTCCAATTGCTCAGTCCCCAAACATCAAATAATCTGTTGCTTCTTTTTTTTTTCTTTTCCATCACTTTCCCAACTCATCAAGAAATCCTGTTGACCCACTTTGTCATACGTATAGACTCGAATCCACTGCTTCGTCCAGTCCAGATCACCATTTCTTTCTATATTATTACAAAGTCTTCCTACATTTTCCTTTGCTCCCTTTTATCTATTCTCCATACAGTAGCTATAGTGAACCTGTTAAAACATGTCAAATTATGTTGCTGCAAAGGCATTCTATGTAAGCCAGAATGAACGTCTAAATCCCAATGATGCCCCCTACCAGTGTCCTGCTGAGCTGGGCTCCATGTGGCCTGTTTGACTTCAGCTATTAGCATCCTCCTTATATCCCCTTCTGCACGGGCAGGTCTTTCTGCTCTTTCTTGCAGCCCGCAGGGGTGTGCCCATGGCCTTGTGTACTTTCTTCAATGTTCTTTATCTATCTCTAGTGAAACCTACGGCATGAAGTAGACCTTCAAAAGATATTGACTTTATTCAATAAATACGGGATGAATGCAAAGATAAATAAGCCATTCATTAAATGCTGATCTGTACTAGGTCTTGGAGATTAAAATAAAGAAGATCACCCCCTTTCACTTAGGAGACGGAGACGGGGAAATTCCCACACTGTTTAAGTGCTAATGCAGGAATTAGATAATAGGCTGCATGAAGAAGACGTATCAGCACCTCATTCAGTCTTGAGGTTATGAAAGGCTCTCAGCAGAAATAGTCGTTACCCAGAGACACATAGGTTGAATAAGAGCTGTTAGGGAAAGAGAGGAGAGAGGAATGAAGTCTTCAGAGGACCTCTAGATGGGGTGGGCAGGACTGAAACCCGTGGAGGGGAAAGCGTTCATGATGGAGGCATCACCGGGGCTAGTTGTGAAAGGGCCTACTGCCTGGGGAGGTGAAATAGACGCGAGCAGTCTGGACCAGGGGGTGACTTGATCACGTTCATTTAGAAAGATACTAATGGATCTATTCTGGAGAATGGGTTGGACACGGGCAAGCCTGAAATAGGGAGCACTGGATAAAATGTTCTTGCTGGGATACAAATAAGAGATGAAAGTGGACAAATGGAAGGCTCCGGGGAAGGCAGTGGAAGACTCGGCCAGCCACGCAGAGTCATCGCTGAGTGCCTGCGCGCTGAGCTGTGAGAACCTGACCAGCGCCGCTCACAGACTGTGGTCTGCAGGGCCAGCGCCGCTCACAGACTGTGGTCTGCAGGACCAGCGCCGCTCACAGACTGTGGTCTGCAGGGCCAGCGCCGCTCACGGACTGTGGTCTGCATGACCAGCGCCGCTCACAGACTGTGGTCTGCGGGGCCAGCGCCGCTCACGGACTGTGGTCTGCAGGGCCAGCGCCGCTCACGGACTGTGGTCTGCGGGGCCAGCGCCGCTCACGGACTGTGGTCTGCGGGGCCCCCTGGCGTCTGCGCAGCTGGAATAGGAACAGCTGCTGCTCCGCACGGTGCGGACGTGCTCCGCCGCTCAGCCGTGTCCCACTCTGCAGCCCCACGGACTGGAGCCCGTCAGGCTCTGTCCGTGGGATCCTCCGGGCGAGAACGCTGGAGTGGGTGGCCATGCCCTCCCGCAGGGGATCTGCCCCACCCGGGGTCGGATCCGCGTCTCCTGCGTCTCCAGCGCTGCAGGCGGAAGCCCTGCTGCCAGGCGTGGACGCACTGGGTTTGTGTAGATGCTTTGCACCAAACACCATCCGTCTCAGAGAAATGCCTGCAGACACTTGGAAAAGTGCGATGTTTTACACACAATACGGGTGCACTCAAGTGTGTTCATTCCTTCGTTCCCGGATGTTTCCCGAGAAGCAACAAGCGGCGCGTACCCTTGGAAGGCCGGTGGAGACAGCGGTGAACAACGACCAAACGCCCTCCTGTAGATCGCTTTCCAGTGAAGAGGGATCAAAATAAGCAGATGCCGCAGCACTGCCCGGATGGTGACAAGTGCTTCGGGGACTCAGAGCGGAGCAAGCGGCCGAAGAAGAGCCGGGATGGTTGGAGGCTGTCTGAACGGACAAAGAGAGAACAGGGAGACCGCACACAAACCTGGAGTAAGACTCGGAGGAGACCGGCTGGCTGCGCGGGCAGCTCTCTGTTCATCTGAGCAGAGAGAAAATCCACGTCTTCCCAGGTCTGCACTCCGGGTGTGCGCCCGGTCTCAGGGCGTCTGTGGTCTTACCACAGAGCGGCCTATTTCTACCTGGCGAGCAGCGACCTAGCTCCTGCTAGGAACCTCTTGGCTCCTCAGAAGCTCCGAGAGACGAAAAGGCCGCGGCTGTGAGTGCGGACTCCCTGGGAGCCGCGGGCCAGCTCCCTGTCGGCTGGGAGGCTCACGACCCCACGTCCAGCCAGCCTCAGCTGGGTCTTTATTTAGATGTCATTTTGTTTCCAAATAAAAACCGTCGCATTTCTTTCTCTATAATCTATACACACAAAGTCACTTTAAAAGAAACGCTAATAAGTGTACAATGAAAATAAAAATCACTTGTTTTCCATCTAGAAATAAGCCACGCTGAGGTCTTGACATTCCAGATGACCCTGAAATGCAGGTGGGTGGGGCATGCATGTTTAAATAAAGCAGACACCTCCTGTTTTTGGTTTGAACAGAATTCCACGGTATGAATGTAGCCTTCAGTTGCTCCCGGATGCCACACTCCTTGGAGGCTACACGCGGCTCTCTCCGACCCTGCAGAGGCTGGAATGTTCTCGTACCAAATACTTGCTGCCTTTCTCTTCACAGCACGACGACAGATGCACACACTTTTCTGAAACAGGCAGCGACGTAATGTGATTGGAGAAGGCGTTTACGTGGGTCACTGTAAATGGGGAATTTAGAATTTATATATTTGAATAAAGCGCTCTGCTAGGGGCTGGAACATAAATTCAGCATACAAATAGCAAGACAACTGTTTTGGGCAGACATTTACTGATGTCACTGAAAAAGTTGCCTAGATGTCTCTGAGTCTCAGGTAATCGTGATTATAACAGACACCTTTTGAGATCTCAGCTTGTTAGTAAGAAAGATGATGTAAGTGAAAAGACCTTGTGACTGCAGAAGGCCATGCAAATTCAAGAGTGTTGTTAATGATTTAAAATAGCGCTTTGCTCTCCTAAATCTCCTGGAGAGGGAGGTGGGAGGGGGGACCGGGATGGGGAATACATGTAAATCCATGGCTAATTCATTTCAATGTATGACAAAAACTACTGCAATGATGTAAAGTAATTAGCCTCCAACTAATAAAAATAAATGGAAAAAAAAAA